AAAACTCATTTAGAGATAACTGCAAATATTTTTCAATGGAAGTCAATGGAGGAATATGACTAGTCATAATATATTTGCAGATATCTCCAATCTGATTTCGTACTCGTACAATTGTAATTGCAGATATCTCTGATTGTCATTCTGACTAGTCGAATTATAATCATGACTAGTCAAAATATAATTAGAGATATCTCTAAATATATTAATGGATAGTCAGAACAAGAGTTTAAATGCTAAAGCGGCTTGCCATACGCGTGCGTTATCATAGGGCAGACTGTAGTAACCGCTCACGGTCAGCTCACGTCATGTGTGATTTTGCGGCCGCCAATACATCATTATATGAAGACAGAATGATATTTTAGGGTGAATTGTACCTTATAAATACAGTATGTGACTCTTTCAACACCATTAGGAGGTATCCATGTCGCTGTGCAAAGTATGTAAATCACTGTGAAGACTTTAAAACTTAGGCTATGTTTGACCCAGTATGCGAGTCAAAAAGCGGAAGAGTCTAAAGCAATGACTGTACAACCGAAATGTTGCCAGACGTCTGATTTTGAGAGGATGGGCCTTCCTCTATTTCAGCTCCACTCATCTTGGTCTGCTAACATTACTGCTGCTGCAATCTGAACTCACGTGCGACAGCAGGTAGAACGTAGCTCACGTGCAAACAGCTCAACTAATAAGAGAAAACGGACGTCATATCGTAATCAAATCGTCATAACGCCATGATGCATATTGTGACATTTTTGCATCGCAATAAATCGTACAACGATAAATCGTTACACCCCTAGTCAGAATATGTGCTGAGGTTTTCACTTATCATGTGTTTAAAAGACTAAGGGCTCTATTCAATGATCTAGGCGCAAAGTCTAAAGCACATGGAGGTGTGTTTGAATCCACCTGCTATTTTAAGGACAGAAAAATACGCTCTGCACCCCACTGCATTGTCTAACAGGGCTGTGCTGATTCTCTTAATGAGTTCTGGATGTGTTTTAAGCATAACGTGCATTAAACCAATCAGAGACACATCTCCCATTCCCTTTAAAAGTCACTTGTGTCGCGCCATAATTGCTATTTACACATACCTGTCAACATTGGGATGTGAAAATAAGGGATATGCCCACCATAATAAGGGATTTCCCCAACCCCCCTGTTTGCTAATACATTAGCAAACAGTTCAGCTTATTAAAATTAATAGCTATTATAATGACAGAATCAAGCTATCAAATCTCATTAGCCGTTTCTCCACTGTATAACTCATACATTCTGATTAAAGAGCAATGAATGAATCTCTCATTTATTAAGATTTTTTTTATTACATTAAATAACAGGTGTCACTTTAAAAATGCACACATCTAACGTTATAATGAAAGCATTCGACTGCTTTCCTTACATTTTATGCTCATTTAAGACGAAATTAGTTGTGTTTGGAAAAAAACCCCCACCAAGATTGACATCCTTATTTGTTAATATTATTAATTATGAGTGTATGTCAGTTTAAACACGCACCCAAAAGCCAGACTTTTTTCTCTCCGCCTCAAATCGCGTGTACAGAATCCGTTTGGTAAACAGCATCTGTTTATCACTATGGAGCGCGTCAGCTGACAGTCACGCACCATTATATGACTGTTTTGAGGATTGTATAGGATGGGCGACGGCACCTGTAATCAAAAGGAAATAGAATCACGCTGTTTTTAGTATTTATTTATAAGTGTTTTCATTCCTAAACAAAGCGAAAGCACAGAAGACTCACGTTTTAGAGCATGAGGCAAACCCTGGTGGTTCGGCGGTGTGGGTTGCGTAAAGGGAGGCTCGGCTGTTTCAGAAAGACTGAAAATATGGGAGAAATACTGGAAAATACCTTTATGGGATGATAGCGGGATAGAACAGTAAAATACAGGAGAATCCCGGGAAAAACAGGAGGGTTGACAGGTATGTTTACATTGTGGACTTTGTAAGTGGAAAAACTGAACAGTTCACTAGCAAGAAAACAGTTACACAGAGTGCGATGATAAAGATTCAGCCTCTTTACTTCACTTCTACTCTTTACTCCTTTACTTTAGTGGAGTAAGGAATCGGTGGAAACTCACTCCACTGAACACATCCATTAGCCTCCATATTTACAGTTTTTCTTGTTCGCTTTAACCTGGTTAAAGAAACTAGGATTCACTTTATATTCCTCATCATTATCCTAGCAGAGCAGAAGACAGTTCTTGCAAATGTGTAAACCCTTTCTCATTGGGTTGACACATTTTCCTCACCAATTTTCAAAACAGTTAACACGGATGTCATTCAAGCCGTCCAAACTTCATTGTTTTAGCTATGATAGCCAAACAGAAACCATCTATTCCTAACCATTAGACACTACCAAGATCAGAATGAGTTCACTGAAGCACCGGTTTGACACTCCTTCACCCAAATCCTCAATCACTCTGCAAACATTAAAAACGGTGGAAGGTCTGTGTTGTTCTGTGCCAGCATTGATGGAGGAGGTCAAAAGTGGCTATGTCCTGTAGTCCCAATAGATTTGACTGTATATTGCTTTACATGTGTTTTCTCTAATATTTACAGTATTTTATTACTTTTTTCTGTTTTTTTTTTTTTACAGTATTTCAGTTTTTAGCCACAGTTTGAAAAAAATTCATGCATTTACAGTTTTTCTCGATTGTTTTGATGCAGTTGTCAACTGAAACTCCACCTTTTCAAAACAGTAAACACACCGGCCTAAACAGCAGCACTCATGGTCAAAATGACACATTATGCTTGCAAAAGGCACATATCGTGTCAAAACATTTAAAATATGCAACAAAAGCTAGTTTTACCTTCAAACAACATGACTTGCAAACAGGTATATGAGCTCTTTCAATTAATCATTACACAATGGACAACAAAATACAAAATACAGAAGTCAGTGCACCACCATTGCTTGCCATTGTAGACTATTGCCAATGATGTTTGTTGTCTTTCTATTTGGGCTGTCAAATTTACCTTTTTGCAAAGAATTGGATCCAGAATAAGAAATGCTTTGACTAAATTTATTTTGAATTCATGACAATTTTCAAACTGTGGCTGAAAACTGAAAACTGTAAAAACAGAAAAAAGTAATAAAATACTGTAAATATTAAAGAAAACACATTTAAACCAATTTACAGTCAAATCTATTGGGAGTATAGGACATAGCCACTATAGACCTCCTCCATCCATGCTAGCACTGAAGTACACAGACCTTCCACCGTTTTTAATGTTTGCAGACTGATGGCTAATTGAAGACTTGTGTGAAGGAGTGTCAAACCGGTGTTTCAATGAATTCATACTGATCTTGGTAGTTTCTAATGGTTAGGAAGAAATGATTTCTGTTCGGTTATCATAGCTAAAACAATGGAGTTAGTACCGCTTGAATGACATCGTTGTTAACTGTTTTGAAAAATGGTAGGGAAAATGTGTCAACCCAATGAGAGAGGTCTTGCAAATATGTAAACCCTGTCTTCTGCTCTGCTGGGATAGTGATGAGGAGAATAAAGTGGAACCTAGTTTCTTTAACCAGGTCAAAGCAAACAAGAAAAACTGTAATATAAATTTAATCAAAGCATTTCCAATTCTTTGCAAAAAGGCAAATTTGACAGCCCAATTAGAAAGACAACATACTGTATGGCATTGGCAATAGGCTACAAGGTCAAGCAATGGTGCACAATGGTGCAGTTGTTTTGCCTGACTCAGAATTAGTTAGATCTGAATAATATATTTTACCTGTTCATTTTAACATCATTTAATAAATAAATTATTTAAAAAATATAGCTAATGAAAATAGCATTATTCAGGGAAATGTAGGATCGTAAGACATATTATCACAATTCTCAAAAACAATATTCAATATCATGTATTTTTTCAGTATTGTGCTGACCTAGACACAAATGTTCCCCTTTTTTGTGTTCCTCAGCATGACTATTATCCTGCTTATAACCTATTGTATTTATTTTTTCCCGTTCCTCAACACTATTTGTAACCTATTGTATTTCAATCGGCAGTATCTTTGGTATCTCATCATAAACACATTTTCAGAAATGTTTTGGAGCAGCTACCCTAAACCTACCCACTTCTCAAAAACATAAAATACGCAGCAGGCAAATAAAGGTAGGGTTATGCGTTTTTATGGCAAAAACTGAGCATAAAAGCAGTTCAAACAAGTCATGTTACATTCTGAAGCTAAACGATGTCTTTAAGCACATGTCAGTGACATGTATTAGCAAATGTTGCCCAGTAACATGTTTAAGATGGTCAGAAATGCACACAGCATCCTCTAGTGGATTTATGAAAACAAAAACTGACAAGCAGACATCGCCCCAGTCACATATTTTATGGTTCCCAAATATAGTTGAAGTCAGAATTATTAGCCCCCCTGATTTATTAGCCCCCATGTTTATTTTGTTCCACAATTTCTGTTTAACGGAGAGGATTTTTTCTTCAACACATTTCTAAGCATAATAGATTTAATAACTCATCTATAATAACTCATTTATTTTATCTTTGTCATGTTGACAGTAAATAATATTAGACTAGATATTCCTCAAGACACTTCTATACAGCTTACAGTGACATTTAAAGGCTTCACTAGGATAATTAGGGTAACTAGGCAGGTTAGAGTAATTACGCAAGTCATTGTATAACGATGGTTTGTTCTGTAGACTATTGAAAATATATAGCTTAAAGGGGAAAATAATATTGACCTTAAAATGGCTTTTAAAAAAAAAACTGATTTTATTCTAGCCAAAATAAAACAAATAAGACTTTCTCCAGAAGAAAAAAATATTATCAGACATACTGTGAACATTTCCTGAATCTGTTCAACATCATTTGAGAAATATTTAAAAAAGAAGAAAAATTTTGGGGGCTAATAATTCTGACTTCAACTGTATACAAACTGCCGTAAGACTGTGTTGATTTTTAAGACAATACTTATGATATCTGGTGTGTGTGTGTGTGTATGTGTGTGTGCACAGGTGAATGGCCGCTAATGGATGAGACTCTGCTCATGGGTTCGTCAGAGGAGGAGAGGCAGGAGGAGCTGTGGGAGCGGGTGGAGGGCGTTCGGCACAAACTGACCCGCATCCTGAACCCGGCCAAACTCACGCCGTACCTGCGCCAGTGCAAGGTGATCGACGAGCACGATGAGGACGAGGTGCTGAACTCCAGCCAGTATCCTCTGAGGATAAGCAGAGCTGGTGAGGAGAGCAAATATCACATTACATAACACCCTACTGAGAGGAAATACACAGATATTAGAACAAACACTCTACAGTATCCAATGATGTCGTTAAAGTCTCTTAAGACTTTAGTTTTAAATGATAGTTTTAAGGATATCTTTAATCTAGTGTGCTCCAAAACAGTGACAAAATTCAATCATTCATTTTCTTGTCGGATTAGTCCCTTAATTAATCCGGGGTTGCCACAGTGGAATGAACCGCCAACTTATCCAGCAAATTTTTACGCAGCGGATGCCCTTCCAGCCGCAACCCATCTCTGGGAAACATCCACACACATTCACAAACACACTCACAAACACACTCATACACTACGGACAATTTAGCCTACCCAATTCACCTGTACCACATGTCTTTGGACTGTGGGGGAAACCGGAACACCCTGAGGAAACCCACACGAACGCATGGAGAACATGCAAACTCTACACAGAAACGCCAGCTAAGCCGAGGCTCGACCCAGTGACCTTCCTGCTGTGAGGCGACAGCACTACATATTGCGCCACTGCTTTGACCGACAAAATTCACATTTATAAAATATAAACCTGATATAAACTGTTGCATCCCTCTCGTTACTTTTTATTGGTCAAGGGGGACTGAAAAGGAAAACATTAAGCCAGTTGTAATTATTGCTGCCATTTACAATAGATGAGGAACAACAACACACAAAAGTGCTCCCAGTTGCTCCCGAAACAACAAAGACTGAAAATATGGGATAAATACGGGGAAATACCTTTACGGGATGATAGCGGGATAGAACTGTAAAATACAGGAGAATCCTGGCAAAAACGAGAGGCTTGACAGGTATGACTTCTCTATATACAGTAAGTAGTGTTGTCAAGATACTGGAATTTGCTTTGATACGATACCTTAAAAAAATTCAATATTCAGTCACATTTTTGAGACCAAATTCCACAACATTTAGAATATACAAACAAAGCAAATGGGAAAAAAATAACTGAACCCTACCATGTTTTGCATTCTCATGTAATCTGAGTTTCAAGTACTGAGTGATACAGAGAGCCGGCTGATTTTATTCTGTCGTATGTGCTAATCTGCCATATTGTAATCATATCTGGATGTTCCTAATGATAAAAGATAAGCAAATATAGTTCTTCAACTCCCTGCTGGTGAGAAGAGAAACTTTATTGATAGTTACCAAAAGCGAGACTGTATTGTTTAAAATTGTCAATATCGATATTTATCAGTATTTTTGACAGCAGTAACAGTAAGTCCATTCAGCTATTCTGGGAAATTCAGTATCGTCATGGAATTGAGTAAAGAAACAGAAGATGGTTTCATGAAAAATGTTCATTGACTGAGAAGCTTCAGTCTCGTGTTAGTCACACTTTGGAGAAAAGGTGCAAAAGTCAATAGGGAACTGAAGGAAACATTTCCTCCTTACAGCTGAACAGATCTTGGGATGAGAACAAAGCTTGGACTGAAGTACAGTAATCTGATTTATTATTAGCTTAACTCACACTCACCAGTGCAAACACGGAACATTTTAGACCGGGATTTTCAGTCTTATAAATGCCACAAACCCCCAAACATGATCATCCTTGTGTGAGGAATAAATT